TTATTTTAGTACATAATATAAGAGGTTTCAGTCCATGGCCATGATCCCCCATTGCCTTGGGCTTGGGCCAGCATAGTGTAAGAGCATGTGGTGTAGACTCACTGTGGCAGGGAAGTGGGGTAAGGGAGATAGAGGAGGAGAGACAGAGATGGAGATGAGACAGGGACAGAGATGGAGATGGAGACTTTTTTTCTGGAAGATGTGAACAAATGCCTGATCATCCCAGATAATTCACCAACAGCTGATTAAAGTAATAATGCACTAAAATCCAATTTTGTGAACCAAGTTTATTGGGGTTACTTATATGCATATGAGTGAGAGTTACTCACCGGAATGTAGATGACTCAAAGCCATCGCATCTCTGAAAAGCTCAGCCCACCATGGATGACAACTCATGAAAATTCCATCCCTGGAGCTTCCTACACAGTTTGTAGACAGCTTTACAGGTTAGAGATCCTCTTGCAGGGAACTCTGTACAACAGGAGAGTCTCTTCTCCCCAGCAATTGTTTATTGCTCTTATAATCTTGGAGAAGGACCTTGTGAATACTGTCAGTTTCAGGAACTTCATGAGACTTGAGAGATGCTTGTTTGCCAAGTCTCATTAGTCCCCTCTTTCCCTCCAGGAGAGACTGTTTCAATTTAAAAGAAATTGTTACCCAATTCAGAAAGAGAGAATCTTCAGGTAAAAGAACATATTACTGGCAAGCATTAGTCAGAAGAAACATAAATATACCATATAACAGAAGTCACAGAAGTACTTTTAAATTTCTAAGAGCCACCTTAATAAAATGACAAAAGTGATTTAACTTTAAAAACATCTTCTTAAAGTAGTCTTTAAAACATCTCCAAAATTGTGTCCAATCAATCCATAATCAATGTAAAACAAACAGACATTTTGTGACTTCTCTTTTGGTAAAAAGTCAGTGTGTTCATAATTGCAGATATCATTTTATCAAGTCCCACTTTCAGTTCTCTGGGAATTGTGCATGGACTAAGTTTCTGTCTTGGAGAGACAAGAATGGGTATGGAAAAAAAAAATCATTTTCACGAGTGATAGTTGGCCTGATTCTGGAAAACAGAGAAAAGCTATACCCCAAAGTAGAGCCAGGTGGAAACAACCAAAGATGAAAAGAGTTTTATGGGGAAATTCAGGAAACATCTAGCATCTGCACTAATCTAGTCAGACGGTGAAATAGAGAGGGGTTTACCATGTCTGTCCTGGAACACAGCCAATTTAGAAAAAGTACATTTGATGCATCTCTCCCCCACTTTGGAAGAGCCTCTAAAAATTCAATTGCAAATGAGATGTGCAATTTTATGGTCTGTGAACAAGGAAGAATATTTTAAATATGTGAATTTAGAAACTGCCAGATAGCATAGAACACAGCATTCCTTGTTAAACAACTTTAAGAACATTTGAGACCGTCTGCCATTGTGATTACTTAGACAAAGGAGAAGAGCCATACATTCCCCCCATGGTATTATTGTAATTAACACAAATTATCATTTTACTAGTATATATTAACATGCTTGCCCCTTAAAGATGCATTTTAAAGAAAAAAATGTCTGAAGTGATGGCAGAATTCCAATGCTACTTATTTATATGAGCTATCTCCAGGAAATATAAAATTATTAGATAAAAGACAGTGTCTGGTAGGAAACTTCAGGAGAGGGATTTTCTAAAACAAACTTTAGATAAGAAAAGATCTCAAATATATTATGGCTTGAGACCCACAGTACAGTAAATTAGCAAGGAGTAAGTACACACCTATTGTGGTAGTTTGAATGAGAACGGCCACCATAGGCTCACAAGGTGGAACTGTTTGAAAAGGATTAGGAGTTGTGGCCTTGTTAGAAGGGTTTTGTCACTGTGGGTACACTTGGAGATTTCAAAAGCCCATGCTGCTCCCAGTTAGCTTTTGCTGCCTCATGATCTAATCTCAAGATGTAGGTTCTCAGTTAGTTCTTCAAGGCTCTGCCTGCCTGTCAGCTTCCATGCTCTCCACTATGAAGCCATGGACTCTAACTAACCCTTTGGATTCATGAGCCCCAAATTCAATGCTTTATTTTATAAGTTGTCTTGGTTGTGGTATTTTGTCACAGCCATAACAAAGTAACTAAGATGCCAGAGTTTAGAAAGGTGGGAAGGACAGCTCCTAGATAGTCTGCTAGGATTTTAGGATAGTTTGGATGTCCTTCTTATTCACCTGTGCATCCCAGCGTGACAGCATCCTCACAAGCATCCTTACTGAGATCTTCTCAAGGAAAGTCATGGCATGTTGTGTAGTGGATGTACTAGGTTCACATTAGACATTTTGCTATGGTGTGAATAGCAAGCATCAGGAGGGAAGGTACCACTCAGACCTTGCTGCCTGCTCTTGCTGCACCTGAAGAAGGCTGGGACTTTTTGGATACCAACTTCTAGGGAAAGCTGATTTCATATTATTTCATTTACTATTTCCCTTCCCTTTATAGGCAGCCAGCAAGCATATTAGACCGCCATTGAGTTTCCAGACGGATGCTCACATGTCATTTTGGGGTTATGTGGCCTCAGCTCTTCTTTGTTCTTTCTGTGCACCCTGTTTTTCAGGTCCTAGCATCCTTGCTTATCATCTTCTTTGCTCACTGCTGGTGATGTGCCAGTGTACTGTTAACTGGACTTCTGAGGAGGGGAGGTTGGGAATTACAAAAATTGAAAAAGGAAAGAGATAGAGAAGGCACAGCTGCTTATAATTTCAAAGAGAGATAGGTATTGGCACAACTTTCTAAGCCAGTGACGCCTGAGGCTGGGTAGTTGGAAAGGACAACTTTAGCATTATGCAAATATAACATGGCGGCACTAAAAAGGTAGTTAATGACTGGATTCTAAATGGTAAGAAAATGAAATCTGGAGCAGGTGTGAGAAAGGGCCATGAAAAGAGTTTATACAGGGAAGAAACAATAATAACTAAGAAGCAAATAGATAGCAGGACAGTTTGGCTAATGGTGATTGATGTCATTGTAAGTGGGGATATTTTTTAATACTTCTATTTCTCCCAGGTTGTTATAATAGGGAGAGAGGAAAAGACATGTCTAAAATCACCTTGGTGTATAATGCAGACAGGGAAGAACTGTTTTTGCTGTTAAAAAGCAGCTCCCAGGATTCTGAGAACTCCCTTCCCCTTCTGAATTCTTGCCCTCACATCAAGGATGATAGTGTTCCAAAGATCCTCTGCTGTACATCTCGTGGTGCCATCTCCTCAGGATGCAGATGGGCTTTCAGACTACTTTCATGGTCAAGTGAAACTGA